TTATTATAGAGGGCTGGCTACGTCCACTTAGGTTAAGACGGTTCGGAAGGCTATATACTGTAGTTTCTAGATAGAAATCTAAAATACATGTGAATAGGGGCTACAGGTTATCATTTGTAATTGGTCATGTGCAGGCTTGCTACAGAGCAGGCAAATAGTTCAGAGGTCTTAGTATTCCTTCTGTGACATCCTCCCCTTTATATTTAAGACTACATTCATTTGTTTTACCAGCTTCTAACTTTACTTTGTTATCATACAGTGTTTTTGTAATCTCTGAACTTCTCATGTAAAGCAAAAACCGTCTGTAATAGAGCAGATAGCTCATTGAAGCCAGAGGTGATGGTCTAACTTTGCAAGTGCTCTCCTTTTTTTTAAGATTTTATTTATTTATTTGAGAGAGGAGAGAGAGAGGGAGAACAAGCAGGGAGAGTGGCAGAGGGAAAAGGGACAAGCGGGCTCCCCACTGAGCAGGGAGCCAGACGTGGGGCTCGATCCCAGGACCCTGGGATCATGACCTGAGCCGAAGGCAGACGCTTAACGACTGAGCCACCCAGGCGCCCCTACAAGTGCTCTCCTTGAAGGGCCTGGTCAGCATACCCAACCACAGAGGAATTGGGCCAAAGTAAGGAAGACACAGTTCAGTTTGGAGGCATGAAGTTTTCTTGGTATTAGGGCAGAATCTGAGAAAATATCTACTGGGCTCATTCATAAATTAGAGTCCTCTTGTCTACAGACTGTGCCTTTCTCTTCCTCCATGGTAAGTTCCTCCAGGAAAGATCTTGAAGTTCTTTCTTCAAGGATGTTTCTCTAAAAGGACTTGAGTCATTGGTGTCTCCAGTGGATTGTATTGTTTCTTCTGGAATGCTTTAGTATGTAGTAGGTCGTTTTTTAAAACTTTTTTTTTTTTAATTTTTAAGTAATCTCTACACCCAATGTGGAGTTTGAACTCATAACCCCTATTAAGAGTTGCATGCTCTACCGACTGAGCCAGCCAGGTGCCTCATCCTTGAAATTTTTCATTCCAGTACCAGAATATCTGCTATGTTACAATAGCATTACTGGTGTAAGCCTGGGGCAAGGTGACCTATGAGAGGAAGGCCTGGCTGTGACCAGGAAGGAAATTAGGGCAAGGCCAGTAAGATTTGAGAGTTTTCTCTGTTCTCATTTATTGTGAATTAGTTTTGATTCCTTGAGTGAGAACTCAAACTTTGTGATCTGACCTGGGAGACATTGGCCAAATTTCACTAGGCAGATGATTTCTTGACTGTAATGCTTTTGAGACTTAACTGAGAAAAACAATGGCATTCCGAAAACATTTATGTAAGGTAAATGCTAGGAGCTTAAAAAATTTTCCTAAAAATTAGAAAGCTGTAGTTAAAAAGTCAGTTATTGTAATGTACACCATGGTGACCATAGTTAATAATACTATATTATATATTTGAAAGTTGTCAAGAGAGTAAATTTTAAAGGTTCTTATCACAAGAAAAAAATTTTGTCATTATGTATGGTAATGGATGTTAAAAAAATTGTTTCCATCTATAGGCAGCTTCCAATAGGAGATATTTTAAAATAGTTAAAATTTGTAGGTGTATTTTACGAGAATATTCTTTATCTGATGTAATTTCTGAAAGCTTGTAAAGTTTAAAAATTCTTCTAAAGTCCTTAATAGTTTAATTTGTATTATATTTACTTTAAAAAATTTATGGGTTTATAGTGAAAAGAAAGTTTCTACTCGAATTTCATCCTGTAGCTTCATGGTTTCTGTTGCAGGATGGTCTCTGCAACATATACTAAAGTATATCCCATATACTTTCAAAGAAGAGTGAAAAAACAAAAACCAAGGAAATGCAAAACGTTTGAAAACAACCAAAAAGACTATTGGTGATAAAAGCAAGCCTTATGAGTTTGTCCCTTTTGGTGAATGGATTTGTAAAATAAATTTAATTCCACATTATTAAATGATAGCAATAGTTTGTTGTGAAATCTAAATTCTTAGTGGAAAAGGGCATTAAAACAGACAATCCAAACTCCAGATCAGTTGTGGATATTTTCTTCCCCACAGGTGTTTTAGGGAACCAGGAAATGTAATTAGTGAGAGGCCGGGAGACGGAAGAGCTGAGTCCTTATGCTCAGCCTGACTCATGTTTGCAGGGGCCCGGCCTCTGGAAGGCAGTCTTTAGGTTTGGGATCAGACACCTAAAAATCTGCTTAAGTTTTAAGGGCCTTGACTCTCCTTTCGGTAAATCAAAACTAACTTATTGATGGAGAACAATAAATGGCAAGAACAAGCCAACAGACAAACCAACAAACAAATAATAAAAACAAAAGGAAATGTCCTGCAGACAATGGTTTCAAATTGAGGAAGCAGGGGCGCCTGGGTGGCTCAGTCGGTTAAACATCCGACCCTTTTTTTTAAAAAGATTTATTTATTTATTTGAGAGAGAGAGAGGGAGAAAGAGGGAATGAGTGGGGGAAGGGGCAGAGGGAGACAGAGGGAGAGATCTCAAGCAGACTCCCCACTGAGCATGGAGCCCTTTGTGGGGCTCAGTCTCACAACCCTGAGATCATGACCTGAGCCAAAACCAAGAGTCAGATGCTCATGCAACTGAGCCACCCAGGTGCCCCTAAATGTTGACTCTTGATTTCGGCTCAGGTCATGATCTCAGGGTCATGAAATTGAGCCCCACATGGGGCTCCATGCTCAGGGGTGGGTCTGCTTCTCTTCCTCTTTCTCTCTCCCTCTGCCCCCTCACCCCCCCACCCCGCTTGTGTGCTGTCTTTCTCTCTCTCAAAAATAAATAAATAAATCTTAGAAAGAAAACAACGACAAATTGAGGAAGCAAGGAGACAGGTGTCAGCATGATTGATAGTGACCTTGACGTCTTTAGATAACTTCAGTGTGTTGACTGAACTGAATTTAATAAAATGTATTTTTAAAGCTTTATTTCATAGGGGTATTTTCATAAGTCTGTCTGGAAATGAGGACTTCAGTAATGAGACCCACTTTGAGGCAAACCGTTACTTTTTGAAGTTCAGTTTAAAAGAGCAATGCCATTTTCAGAATCCGTGATTCTTTTTTTTTTTAAGATTTTATTTATTTATTTGACAGAGAGAGACACAGCAAGAGAGGGAACACAAGTAGGGGGAGAGGGAGAGGGAGAAACAGGCTTCCCGTGGAGCAGGGAGCCCCATGTGGGGCTCAATCCCAGGACCCCCGGACCATGACCCGAGCCGAAGGCAGACGCTTAACAACTGAGCCACCCAGATGCCCCTGTGATTCTTGATTAGGAAAGAAATGCCTAAAGGGATGGTGAAGGTTTGCAGGCTCATTGCTGGTATACAATACAGCTATGTTTTCTGTGGTTACATCAAAACCAGAACACTGCAGTATCCTGTGGAATAGACCTCAGAGTTGGAAGAGTTTCTTTTCCTTGTAGAAAATAGCCAGGTGAACAAAGAAGGGTAGTTGAGCTCTCTTACATTTTTAAAGGAGCTGTAAAAGCAGGTATTCTGTGGGTTGTGGTCAGTGTGTAAGGTATAAAAAGCTGCTTTTACAGTCAGCTTGAATTTATGGGCAAATATTAAGAGGTACCTATGTATCTGTATTTTGAAAACCATTTGTCAAAATGCTGTAACTGTTTTGGAATATGAGGAAATTGAGCAGATTTCATTTAGTTGCATCAGTGTTCTTATTGTTTTATGTTTATTTGAGTTTGATGAATACTTTGATTTCATTTTAGCAGCTTTTTTTACTTTTCATGTTTAGCATGTATACAGCATACCAAGTTGCTAATTTTTGGATTTAGTTGAATACTTGAGCACGCAGCATTTGCATGGCCTATAGCAGGTGCTTACTAACTGTTTGTTTGAGTCCATGTATTGTATTAAGCTGTCTGCTGATCCCACCCTTTTGGTGGTTCATCTTTTCCCACTAACCATTTATTTTCAGATAAGTGAAAGGGGATTTTTTGTAGAACATTCTAGAAAGAAAATATGAGTATTGATGCTCTGTTAATATTATGAGTATTGGTGCTCTGAGTTAAATAGACTGATTGACACATTTAAAAATAAACTGTAGAATATGAAAAGTACAGATAACTTTTTTGGGAGTATGGTATGTAGGGAAGGAAAAAGGATGAATAATTACTCAGCCTTAAGAAAGAACTTGCCATTTGTGTCAACATGGATGGACCTAGAGGGTATTATGCTAAGTAAAATAAGGCAGAGAAAAACAAATACCATATAATTTCACTTATATGTGGAATCTAAAAAACAAAACAAATGAACAAACAAATAACAACAACAACAACAACACAAACAGACTTGTAAATACAGAGAATGAACTAGTGGTTGCCAGAGAGGAGGGGTGTGGGGGGGATGGATGAAACAGATGAAAGGGATAAAGAGGTACAAACTTCCAGTTATAAAATAAGTCGCGAAGATGAAAAGTACAGCATATTGATGTAATCAATAATGTTGTACTAATGTTGTATGGTGATACACGGTAACTACACTTAATCTATAGTATTGTGGAATCACTATGTTGTACACCTGAAGCTAATAAAACATTGTATGTCAACTGTACTTAAACTGTACTTAATAATAATAATAATAAATAATACATAAATAAATATTAAATAATAAAAATTCAAAAAAGAAAAAAGATGAATAGACTTTACATATAATATTTAGAGTAAATTTTCAAAAATGTTCCCACTAGTAAAGATGCCAATAATTTAATTCTTTCCTATTGCATGTCTCCCTGCTTGGAGAGAAATATGTGTTCTATTGTCAAATCGGCATCATGGTTGGGCTGCAAAAAGTCAACGCCAGTAACCCTCCACCCCTCAAAAGCTCATGTACAAATGCCATAGAAATGAAAGTTGAAAGTTGGTAGATTTCACTGATTGTGACACATCTTGGAAGTTGAGATGATGTTTACCTTCTGTATATTTTAACATTGTCTCTATGGTTACACTCTTTTTATTCCCTCTTTTCAGTCATACAGTTTATCAAGAAAGAAAATAGTGCACTACACCTGTTTTGATCAACGGAAAAGAGCAAATGCGGCATTTTTGATAGGTGCTTATGCTGTAAGTACTTTTTCATGATTATTTTCTATAATCAGGCCAATGGAATGCTAACACTGTCACATAAAATCCAGGCCACTTTTTCAGTGGAATTGGGAGATGGTGAAAATTATTAACACCCTGGGAATGGATATGGAACGGAAAGTGTGGACTACTATCCATGGGCTTGTTTAACTCCCAGATTTTATTTCCTAGTAGCTAATGAGAGAATCTTAGAACCAAAATGGGTAGCTTGGATCCGGCAGTTGTATAGGTGTTTTTAAAAAAAGAATATCCAGAAAGAATATTTCTAGGGAAAAGAATATATAGTGGAAGATATTTATTTTTATTTATTTTATTTATTTTTTTAAGTAGGCTCCATGCCCAGTGTGGAGCTTGAACTTATAACCCTGAGATCAAGACCTGAGCTGAGATCAAGAGTTGGACATATAATGGACTGAGCCACCCGAGCGCCCCTATAGTGGAAGATGTGTTTTTTGTTTTTGTTTTTGTTTTTGCAAGAGAGAGGGGTGGGAGGGGCAGTGGGACTGGGAGAGAGAGAATCAGCCTTCATGCTGGGCTCAATCTCACAACCCTGAGATCAGGAAGAGTCAGATGCTTACCCTACTGAACCATCCAGGTGCCCCAGTATAGTGGAAGATTTTTAAAGACTGTTGAGGTGTTCCTCTTCTGCAAAAGAGGAAATCGTAGATTGCATGGGGGAGGGTTATTATTATTATTATTTTTATCAATCCATTTATTAATCTATACATGTATTTGTAGTAGGCAAACCAAACATAAAGCCTGCATATATTACAGCTTCCCTAAGAACTGGACAAGACTTTCCCAAAATAATTTTGATTGGAAATTTTGTTCTCTGTAAGCACTAAAATGTAAATGTGAGTTCCACGTGAATGTGCTGCAGAGTTTTGGTGCGACTATTTCTAGAATTTTCTATATATACTGGGATTGGGCAAAAACTTGGAAGGCAGAAGCCATCGGGGCCAAAACTCATCTGTAACCTGTACTAGCTTTTTAGGGACGTGTGTGATATGCACTTAGGAATATGCTGGTCTAAAGGCAGGGGAGCGAGGCATCATTTCCCATCATCCTTGGGGAGGGTGTGCTTCTCTGAAGCCTGGAACCACACTGCTGTGTGACCTTTCAACGGCCTTCTTCTGAAGATCTTGCCGGAAGGAGGCACCAGCTACTATACCTCACATTCTGCCACATCAAACCAAAAGCTCTGGGGGAAAAAACCCAGAGGTGGCGTTGGAATGACTGTCAGATATTGCAGGGTGTAGGCTGAGAAGAGTGGCAGGCCGACAGCCTGACTGCAGCCTGGGGCCTTGTTTCCAGGGCTGAGATGTCCAGCTCTGCCCATCTTTTCTCCCCCCCGATGTAGCTCCAATAAAGCCTGGGGCCATCCCTTGTGGTACTTTTCTTTCCCACTCTGTAGGCAGCATGGTATAATATCAAGAATCATGACTAAAAACATTTTTTCATCCTGAAGTGGCTCTGGAATGATGGGTAAACCACTTTATCTCTCTTTGCTTTATTTAGTTTCCTTATCTGTAAACTGATAGGGTTGGCTATAATGACCTCTAAGTTTCCTTCCAATTCTGAGGATACGAGGATTATTTGTAGTGCCAGACAGACTACCGCTTTTATTTTAAAAGTGTGCACGAAAAGCTGGCTGTTGGCGTGAAGGTTCAGCGAAGTGCTGGTAAGCTGAATTAAGCAGGCATGCTTATTTTTCACTTTGCGTTGATAATTATTACTCATTTGAAACTGATCATTGCCACCATGTTTAGAATATGGAGAGCCTGTACTAACCTTTGGATTCAAGCCATGTGAGCAAGCGTGTCTTTCCTGAGGGGTTTTGTGATGCCGCGTGAGCATGTTCCCCGGGAGTCCTCCGTCATAAGGGATTGCCATCAGGAAGAGGTCATCTGCTGCTCTCTCTCTCCTTCCTCTCTTCCCCGCCCTCTCCTCTTCCCTCTCCTCTTTCCTTCTTAATGCCCGGCCTTCCCGTTTCTGGTGTCATTCTTTATTTCATCAATGGCACCTCTAGGGTTTTGAAAGGAAGCTCAGTCACAATAGGTGCACTGAGCTTGGATCTGCTGCAGAAGTTTCCACCACTTTAATGCAACCAAATGAAGGAAAAGCAGTCTCAGCAGGGTTGAAGAAGTGCTGAGGGCAGCACGAGCTTGCCTTACATGCTCGTTAACAGTCCAGAGAAGCCATGGAAAGTAATTATTCTTGTACCGTTTATTTCCTAATTGATTTTCTTTTCCAATTTTGGGAGTGCATTTCTCAGAAAGCTTTTTGACACACTTAATAAAAATGAAAACCAAGAATTATATTCTTTCCTTGAAGAGAATTTGGTGCCTTACTTCGTTGTTGTGTGTATGCATTTAATTGTTGGCACAAGTTTTGTAGGAAGAGAGTCAGTAATGTGCATTATATATACATCTCTGTGAAGTTACACGTGTATTAAATGTTGCTATTTGGGTAAGCCGGAATCTTCTGGGGGAATCTTCCTATTATTAAGGTCAAATATCCAACTGTGTGTTTGTATCTCCACATTATGTCTCTAAATGATATCTCACACTTATTGTGGCAAAACAGAACTTTTTATTCCTTTTCTCTACGAAACTATTTATTGCCACAGTCGTTGCCTGTTCAGTAAATGGACTACCATCAGTGACTTGCTGAAGCAAAGAGTAGTAGTCATTTTCATTAACTCCTATTTCCTCTTCCCATATTATACTCATCAGTAAGTTTGGTCAGCTCTGCTTCTAAAACATATATTGAGTCAGAATACTTCTTTCCATTTCTGTTGTTGTCCCCTAGCTCCAGCCATTGTCGCTGTTCACCTGGATGATCACCAGAGCATCGTACATTGTTTCCTTTTTACAGTCTTGCTTTTCTTTAATCACAGTTGCCACACAATTTTCAGAGTAATCTTATAAGAATATAAATTAGATCATTCATGGCCCTGTTTCAAATCTGTCAAGTGCTTGCTCACTGTTCTTGGCGTTAAATTCAAACTCCTTACCAATGCCAGTAAGATCCTCCCTGATCTGGCCCTGTCTACCTCTGTGTTCTCCTTGCTCAGGATGCCCCCATCACACTGGCCTTCTAACCATGAAAATCTCAAGCTTATTCCCACCAGAAGGCCTTGATATTTCTGTTCTCTCTGCCTGGAGTGTTTTTACCTAAAACCTTTGCCTTCCTGATTCCTCGTAATGTCACTTCCTCAGAGACATCTTTTCAAGTTTTACTCTGCTCCCACTCTCTAGTCCCTTGTTGCTTTGTTTTCTTTACAGCATTCTACTCTTAGAAATTATCTGATTGATTTATGTGTTTATTGTTTATTATCTCTTTCCTAGACTAGAGGGTAGGAATCTTGTCTGTTCTGTTCATTGCTGTGTCTGGGAGGCGATAAAACATTTAACAAGGAGTTAGGCCCAGCCATTCACCAGTTGAATTGGAAGCTGGCCACCATGGAGCCTTCCTGTTATGCTGAGTCATGGGGAAGTCCAGGGTGGGGGATGTCCCAGGGAAGAGATGAGGTGGCCGGTGTGGAGGGGCATGGGATACTGCAGACCGCAGTTACTTACCAACTGGTTTGGAACTATTTCAGTATTTCAACGCTGAGCATCAGCTTAGAACCGTGCCCTGCACATAGTAGGTGCTCTGTAAATATCTACACAATGAATGAATAATGCGAAGACAAAATATGGAAAAAAGAAGGAAGGTAACTTCCTTTAGGTAACTTCAGAGGGAAACTGAAAACGATCATATTGGACATAAAGTGTAAAGTGTTATCTTCCTTATTACCAGAACGTTGTGATCTTGACTGAGTCAACTATGGCCTTTACAGATGCAGAATCAAAGCAGAGATCACAGTCCAAGGGCAGTACCCACTATATAAAGTCACATCACTACCTTGCCTTTTTTCTGGATGAAATTTTTTTTCCAATTTTTAAAATTGTGGTAAAATACACACAGTATAAAATTTATTGTCTTGCCATTTCTTTCTTTTTATTTCCTTATTTAATTTTTTAAATCTACTTTTTAAGGACTTTATTTATTTATTTGTCAGAGAGAGAGCACAAGAAGGGGGAGTGGCAGGCAGAGGGAGAAGCAGGGTCCCCGCTGAGCAGGGAGCCCGATGCGGGATTCGATCCCAGGACCCTGGGCTCATGACCTGAGCTGAAGGCAGATGCTTAACTGACTGAACCCAAGAGTCCCTTTAATTATTTTTTTAATTGAAGTATAATTGACATAACATTATATTACTTTCAGATGTACAATTTAATGATTTAATATTTATATATATTGAAAGATGATCACCATGATAAGTCCAGTTAACATTTGTCAGCATACGTAGTGACAAAAACATTTTTTTCCTTGTGATGAGTCTTAACCTCTTTCAGCATACAGCTCAGTAGCATTAGGTACATTCGTTTTGTTCTGCAGCTATCATATCTTGCTTGTGAGTGTGACGTCTTGTGCCAAACACGCACGTACAGAGTCACGGCTTTGCCTGTGTTTTCTCCATTAGATCAGGACTTTAAGTATGTCACACAAGCTTTTGTGTTTCTATTTTCTTATCTCTAAGTGGGGGAGAGCGTTTTTATGTTTTATCTCATAGAACTGTCATGAGTATTAAGAAGGAGATAAAATATAGAACACCATGTTCAGTAGGAAATCCACAAACCTGTCTCTGTGGGTGATTCTAAAGCCAGGGTTGCTAGAACAATGTGGCCACTGGAGATCACAGTGACCTGAACAGACAGATGATACGCACTGTTTCAGGGAAGTCCCTACTCAGGAAGTATCTCTTTATCCCGAAGCTGTGACATTACCCTTCTTGAGATGAAGGGCACAGGTTTTAAGTAGAGATCAACTTTGTTGGGAAGGTGTTTGCCTTCCAGGACAATACTCAGGGCAGTGCTGGAGTTGGGGGTCAGGATGCTTGGATCATAGTGATAACCACAGTACTCTGACATGAG